TGTTATGTCTATTGTGAAATTTTTTCAAATGAATTTTAATACTGTCATTAACATTGACTACTAAAGTATTTTTTCCTAAAGTTTTTTTCTGAAAAGAAAGTACATGTTTGCAGCAAATGACAATTAACAACAAACATTTTCAATTACGTAACCTAGTTACTTGATGTTAGTGTACACTAATGATCCATGTTTAGCAATAGTAGAACCACTGATAACAAACACACAGTGTGAATTCTATCTATTGCCAAAAATAGATCTGTACCAAGTTTCTATCAGGGTTGTCCGCATTGTTACAATTTGCTTTTGGTAAAGTTTCCAATGGATGGATATTAATATCCTCGTATTTGGCCCTAGCATAATTTGCTTGAATTATAATACAGCAAAATGTGCCAGTGCCAAATACCAAGAAATTCAAATGAACTGGAGTTTTATTTCCGTGCATTAAATCTAGGAACAGGCTTTCTTGAGAAGTTCCTGCAGTGACTTCGCGTGAATATGACATGTCTTGAGCAGTTATTTTGTTTCTGCGACTCTAATATTCGATTTAAAATAAAAAATATCTTGTGAATAACGTTAAAACAATTATACACAGCAGTACAACTTTGCTTGAACAATTAGAACAATTTCATGCAATTAATTTGGTATAAGCATTGAACATTTTTTTTTTCAATTCAATTTTATCGGCAATTACATCTGGAACCTTCAAATATAATTAGTTTATTACAAGTAAAGGCTTTTCTTCTTGCGTGAAGTGGATAATTTTGGACTGTTCAGTACATGAATTGATGGTCGCTCTTAGAGAGTTTTTAGACGACGTAGAGATTATGCCCATCTTCCAAATTATTGGTACGTTACGTTTTAAATTACTTTGCAAATATTACGACCTAATATAATCAGGAACTAGTCGCAGGAAAAAAGCAAATCCCAAATATACAGAATAAGTTTGTGAATTCACATGAACTAAGGACACATTTTAGCCAAAATTTATGTTCCTTCAGGGACGGACCGACCCAGTGGAAATCTTGTGTTCGGCCTATGAGACGTGTGATTTTTTTCTAATGCATTATCATAGACATGTACAGCGAAAATTGGCTTGCTTTTGGGCATCTTGAAGAATATCCATAGTGTAAAATGTACAATGTATATTGTAAACTTCCAAGAACACACGACTCTTAGTTTAGTATTAATTAAGAAGACGGGGCGAGTGGATGACTTGCTTCAATTAGCCCATCATACTCTTAACACACATTACACTTATTAGTACGATCCATAGTATAATGCATTCGCATTTCCTAAATACCCAGCACAATAATCATATAAAGTAGAAATTTAGGCTCACTTAGTATAGGATGCAAGTTATATTCGTCCTTGCTCTCGACTATTCACTCAATCCAAGCTAATGATCCGTCATTATGGTCAATACGTCGACTGAAAATACGAGGTTACCCACACGTCGTTTAGCCGACGTAAACCTTTCCTGTTCAACATCAGGTATCCGCATTGTTGGACATAACACTTGGAATAACGACCTAATAAACACACTTATGCAAATTAATTTATAATTTGCATATTACAGTTATAACGCTGCCTTTTTCACGTTTTTTATTAGTTTGTCAGTTTATTGTTTATATATCAATTCAATTGGTAGATTTTTTGTTTTTTGTTTAAATGAATAACAAGAAGTATGGCTTACCGTCAATTATAATAAAAACAATACCGATTGAATAATTGATGCAAGTTAATTCTTTTTTCCTATTAAAACAGCAAGTTTAATAACTGAAGATACACCTTTCAAAATACTAGTGAATAGTCAATTAAGTTGGTGGAGTTTGTTTCTCTTGTACTCTTTTTAGATGATGTATATACCTTAATTAATTGCCTCTTAATTCTCACATGACAGCGTTACGATATAAGCATCCTCAGATTAGCAAATTGACAAGACATTATTTAAATAAAAATACACCTTTTGATACTTGGTTAAATTAATTTCTTTTCTTATAATAATAATAATAATATTAATAATAATAATAATAAAAATTATAATAATAATAATAATAATAATGATAATGATGATGACGACGATGATAATGATGATGATGATAAATAATAATAATAATAATAATAATAATAATAATAATAATGATAATGATGATGACGATGATGGTAATGGATGATGATGATGATGATGATGATAATAATAATAATAATAATAATAATAATAATGATAATGATAATAATAATAATAATAATAATAATAATAATAATAATAATAATAATAATAATAATAATAATAATAATAATAATAATAATAATAATAATAATAATAATAATTCATACACTTTAGACTTAGACACTGGTTCAAACTGGGCCAACTTCGGGATTTAATTAGCGGTAGATCGCTCGCTCTGCTCGCTTTGCTCTCGAATAACACTTGCACGAGGGTTAGGTGGGATAAGGGATAATATATCCGTTAGCCTGTCAGTACTTGTTCAGCAGCCGCTGGTTCCAAGTGGCCCAGCCGAAGTTTCCAATTTCAAATATTTGGAATTTAAAAGAAAAGGAAAAATTAATCTTTTAATCTCTAATATTGTATCTCCATACCAAAATACTACCATGTGCCTATGTATATTTTGTAAATTTCTTTTATATATGTCGCTGTCTTATTAAAGGAAGACAATTTATCAGATTTTAGGAAGGATTCCTTAATTAGGTATTAATCATCACCATGAATTTTTACTGATAATTAATAGCGTTGCGACTCCATTAAAAAAAATATCTTCAATGAGAAAAGCAAGAGATTGTTCTGTCAAAGATTATCAACGTTCCACGAAAAACATCGATAATATTCGTAAGCGGAAATTTGTAAAACATTTAACCAACGAAGAATAATTCAACTCCGTAAATGAATATATAGGCATAGTAATAACATCGACGATAATATTGAAAATGATAACTTCCAATAAAAAGTAGAAATTACATTACCTGTGAAGCTCCAGAGGCTTATGGCCAAGACAATATTTTCAGCATTGCGCCCTCAATTTGTATTTTCGTTAATGCAGTCCGAAACTAATGTTGGAAGCCTCCCAATTGTTGTAATTAGGAAAAGACCATAAAGACAATGCTAGAGGGTATAGGTTAGCATCTGGTACTATTGATGAATGAAGCCCACGTGTGTTAATTAGCACCACGAAGACCTTCTTCCGAGACTTTAATCAGCGTCATTGAAATAAAAAAAAAACAACGGGACCTGAAAATCACCACCTGGTCAGTCATATATCATATCTG